GTGATAATTACATAGTAGGATCTTCCTGTTTGTGGGAACAGGAACATAAATGCATCAACACAAGTGATTAATTTAGGTGATAATAAGGGAGGTGGGAGCAGGTGTGTGTGGGCACACGTACAACTGCATGGTTTCTGGAAACAGGTGGTGAAACGCTGACATAGGTGAGAAACTTCATGATGATGAGGAGGAGTTACGTCATGACGTCATGGTAGCTGTGGATTAATAAGGATTAGCCACGAATAATCAAACATGATTATTTAAGGTTAATCAAGACAAATCAACGTTCCTAAATATTTTTTTTTGTAACAGCAGGTTGTAACAGAGGTATGTGTTCAACACCTGTTTTCATTTGTGGCGAATTCAAATGATAGAATTATTAATACGAAATATGGAGAAATTCAAGAAAAATATACAAAAATGTGACTCAAAATCCAGCTTCATGGAGCTGTTGGATATTAGTCTTCACCTGGCATCCTGAAGGTGACTTAAAGAAAGTTATTAAATTTGGTAGTGAAGGTGAGGGAGTTCAAAAGTTTCTTCACGGCATTCTTTACAGAAAACTTACAAAGACTTATTCGTGCCAGGAAGTAGCAGATATTCAAAGCCGGGAACAAAATTCAATGAATGTGTAATGTAGCGTTGAGTCAAATCTACACAGGCTGTGGGTAAATAATGCTGTGCTGGTCATGGGTTTGCTACCACATCCAACAAACTTTGAGTTTTCATCATGTTTTTGGTGTTTATTTGTTTTGTTTTGGTGTTAAATCAGGCAAAACAGTGAGAAATCAGCAAAGGATTGCTTCTAAATTTCTCCCTGAATTCTTGTAGTAGAGACCTTCAATGTCATGTCATACTGTATGTAAAGTTCACATTCACAATGTCTGATGTCCATCAGATGAAGAAGAAGAGGAAGTTCACTATAAAATGACCATTGGTGTGAGTGTTCATAGTTGTTATACTGCTGCAGAGATTGGGGCAATATATATATAAATATATGTATATGTATATAGAAATATATATTTTATGTATGTTTGTATATACGTTCATTATATGCATATATAAGGACAGGCATTTTTTAGGCATTTATCTACATTTAAATATATGTACATATATGTATGTATGTATATATTTATATATATATATTAGCTGGTTTGTAATCATTCTCTTTTTTATATATATGGATAAATGTGCATATAATGTATATGCACATATATGTGTATATGTGCGTATATATCTATAAATAGATAGATATAGATAGATAGATAGAGTATACGTGTATATGTGGATAGCAGTTCCTCCTGCAGGAACTGCTCCGTTGCTAACGGTAATATAAATTTGCCTGGAGCCTCAATCGATCTCTAGGAATAAGGTCACTGTGAGTGGAAATCATCAGGTGTAAAATTAAAAAGAACTTGTGTGTTTTTAATTTTCCTTTTTCAAATGAGTTTTTCAATTTAGTTTCTAACTAGTATTTTTTGAACTTGAACTTGTAACTCCACTCAATAATCCAGGGCTGAGCAGGTTGACTGAAGGTCATTTTAATGCCATGGCCTTAATTTAACGGCTTCATATTGAAATCTGCAGTCGCTGCGTCTTAAATTGACTTTTCAACGTTTATAGTTTTTACTGGCGTCTTTATTATTCCACTCACAACGCTATATTAAACATTACCCCATCATTGCCGCAGCCGCATTGCTAATGCACATTTATTGATGTGTTTTTTTTTTTTCATTTAACACAGCCTACTGGAGCAGGAATATATTGTCATCCATACTTGGGGCTGCTACTTTTTTTTTACATTTTATGTTTTTCTTGACCGTTTACCCTCTTGTTCCCATTTCAAATATCCAGTTGAGGACAGACTTATAAGAATATTTCAAAGAATATGAAATTCTTTTGAAAGTATTTCCCAAGAGTTTTGTACAAAGAAAGTTATATTTATAACTCTTTTCTTTTCTTTTTTTCACCTTTTAGGCTTACTTACATCTTCTTCTCTGCTGAAGCCAGCCCTCCAAGCCATGCAGAATTATACTGAGGACAACTGAAAAGAAAAAACGACACGTCTCGGAAGTCCCATCTTTGACGGACAAAGCTGCTAAAATAAGGGTCAATATCTGACCAAAAATAATATATCTCTATTAATCCTCCACTGTTTCACCTTTTCTAAATCCATGTTTGTTTGTTTTTTCATCCTCACACTTAACCACTGCGTCTCTACTTGATGCCTCCTGATTCCCCAATCTGCAGTGTGGACCTGGGGTCAAATCCCAGAAGGAACGTGCATAAACGGCCTGTCAAGAAATGAAAAATCACTTTCAGCCTGTCCCTATCGTCAGAGGTTACCACTGTGGTAAGTGGATTTGATTTTTGATTTTCACAACAGATGCCTTTTCCTGACGTAGCCCAACCTTGGAATAAGGGATCAGGTTGTATTGAACCCAGAACCTTCTGCTGTTGGCCAATCACCTTTGTCTTTCAAAGAATAGTCACATTAAAAATAATTTGCATAAACTCAAATTAATCAAATTAACTTGGCAACACCAATTTAAAAAAACCCGCTGTGAACCAGGCCGGACACTTTTAGGCTCCTGACACTTAAATGAACTTCTCTTGGTTCAGTGTTGTTTTTTGTGATTTGTGTAATTTATGTGTGAGGACAAGTCACTAAAATGTAAAAAAAAAAAAAAATAAAAATCTAATTTTAATCGCCCCCCAGTCCCCGCCCCCCCAGGTAGACCCTCATTCCACTTAAAGAAAAAAAAATCTCTAGACCCGCCCCTTCTGCCCAGGTGGGCACACAGGAAGTGACGTGACACCTCAGTGACCGGCACCTGTGTGAAAAATTCCTACAGAAGGGGGGGGTGGGGGGGGAGCCAGTCAGGGAGCGGGAACGGCAACGGCGGCAGCAGCAGCGGAGGAGTCCAGAACGCGGCGTCTTCTCCTTCTTCTCTCCTCCCCCTTACACACCCCGCCACTCCAGTCCACTCCATCGCTCCCTCTCTCTCTCTCGCTCTCCCTCCCTCTCCCCTTTCTTAAATTGACATTGGTCTGGCTCGAAACATGATAACAAAAAAGCCTTCCTCCGCTCCGCGCTGTCGGGCTCTCCTCCACCCGGACCACTTGAAACTCACATAAGCAGACGCACAAAGAAGACGGAGGATCCTATCAGAGTGTATCAGGCAGCGGCGGCGGCGACTCACAGGGACTAACCAGCAGAGCTTTACCCCCCCTCACAAACACACACACTCAGCCGCACCGCAGTGTGTATGTGCTCCTCCACTTGCTCATCGCACAGAGCCAGAAAGTGCCGCTGGTTTGAAAAGTGACCCAGTGAAAGTTAAACATGAACGTGCAGGCTGTGATACGAGCCAGCCTTGGATTTGTTGGCTTCTGCCTGGTCGCGTTTGTCCAGCAGTCCGCTTCAGGAAGTAAAACCACTCAAGGTAAGTTTACACCTTGGTGTATTTTTTTTTTATTTTTTCACCTTAATTTCCTCTCCTCCAGGGGTGAATGTAGACAAAAAAATTTAAGGGGTGACATGGGGGGTTTTCTTTTTAGGGCTGGTAACATGTGGAAGAAGTGAATGTAGTGATTTAATCCTGGTTTGGTTAAAAAAAAAAAGGTAGAATATTATCAACACCAAGTATTTTTCATTTTGTGAGACCTGACTCTGAACTTAGATACAGAAGATGGATTCATGTGTAGATGGACAGGAGGACGTAGGAGGAAGTAGAAAAGACAAATTGAATTTTATTTTTATATAAATGTTGCAAAGCTGTTTCTCTCCATGTATAAATATAAAAAATGAAGTCCAAATTCAAGCTTTGTTAAGACGAAACCCTCCTACTGGGCAAAGCAAAGCATAAAAAAACCCTCCAAATCCTGCTGTTCATCCATGTGAATGTATGAGGGGAGGGTAAAAAAAAGGTTCTTAGACAAATTGAAAAAACTTGACAAAGCTGCTTCTCCACGTCCACTGTTTGAGTCTGAACACTTATCGCCTCGTTTTTGTGGAATTCTGAGAAATTACTTTTAAGAGGTTTCTATTCAGGTTTGCTTAAAAAAAATTGGCAGTTGAAGAAACGTAGCAGAGCTCAACACTTGACAGAGATGTAATGATGAAACTTGTCACAGATGTTGACGGGACGTGTCTCAGCATGTTTTTGCTAGTTAAATCAGAAACCTTTTTAGAAATGATACCATCTGTATTGGAACTTTTTGACTTAAATTTCATTATCTGTGAGTTTTAAAATCTGAAGCAACACCTAAAGACGGCTCGCATGCTTTACTTAGATCTGCGTCCAAAAAAAATTGTAGTTTTTAAAAATTTGCTTAAGAAATCGCTTCAATTCTTTGTGTTTTATCAAGCAGTACAGAAACATCAGTTGATTTTGACTTTTGTGATCCACCCTTGAACAAACCACAGAAGGGCGCTGGTTCCCAATTACAAACTCATTAAGACAATAGGATAAAAAAGAAATCTGTGGATTTCTCATTTAATATTAATTTACAAAAAATATTTTGGCTAGCCTGAAAAATTAAGTGCCGCTATTTTTATTTTCCGGTGTCAGCTGCCACCCTGTGTCATCTCTTAGAACTGTCACTGCTTTTATCAAAAGATGTGATGGTTTTTCCTTGATTTGAAGTCCAACCTTTTTTTTTTTTGGACCTATTTGCGAAAAGTAACGCTTTTATATAAATGGTCAAAGATTTGTGTAGATTTGAAAGAAGCTCATTTGGACATGTGGAGTGTATGTGTGAACTTCCTGGTGAGTTTGTCTCGGCCGTTAAAGTACCTCTAATGAAACTCTAGCTCCTTTTCATGATTTGCAATCACTTATTTGCTCTGGTGTTGTGTCGTTCTGCTCGCCTCCTTTATTTACACAGACTTACTGAGGCCGGGAAGAGAGA